AATTAAATTAGCTAATGATTTAGTATTTATATTATACAATAGAACAACAAAATACATCTGCCCGGTTTGAGATCAGTGCAGCATTAAAAGTATGATCAAGTTGGCTTCGCGGAGTATGCGAGAAACCACTAAGAAGAAAGCAATGTGGGCATATAGAATGTTCGAAGCTTGTACAGAATGGCGGCAGGGATTTTATTATGACGGAAGGGGTATTTGTTTGGTTGACAGTATTCTGTTGATTTATGTAGTTAAATATAAATTGATGTTTTTAAAAAGCAAGTTGTTGTAGTGTAAATTTGACATTAATAAAAAGCAAAGTTGTAACCTATAATGGTTTATTTTTTAATCAAGCGAAAAATTGGGGTCATTATTTAAAATAATAACCTCCTGCTCATTTAAAGAACATAATAAATTACGTAGCTTTCATTTCAGCAAACGTTTGTTAAAAATAACAACGTAATCAAAACGATGAAAATATGCATTAATTGTCGAGATAACAATTGTAGTCAGGTGAAATCAATATTTTAAATGTTGCTACACTGAGTACATCCAATTATTTTTTAAGGAAACTAAAGCCCGCCGCACACGAGAGCAACTTGCTGAGCTAACCGCCTCGCGAGGCCGTTAGCTCAGCTATGTATTTTCACCGCACACGTTGGGAAAACTACTCAACAACAACATAATTAACAAAATTATTTGCATTTTCCTCCATTTTGTTCCATGTCACATGAAGAAACCATGGTTTGTCATTGGTTAATTGATTGAAACAGCTCAGCACTTAGCTCACAACATCCGCAGACGCTGAGATTTTTTCCTCGCGAGGCGAAAAATATCAAACACGATAGATATTTTCCTCAAGGCCTCGAGAGGTCAAATCCTCACGAAAACTATCCGCACACGAGAGCTACTTGCTGAGCTAACCGCCTCGCGAGTTAACTTGCGCGAGTTAACTCGCGAGTTAACTTGCTGAGCTACTTGCTGAGCTAACCGCCTCTTTCTATTTTCATTAGAAGTAGAATGATAGTAATTTTAATAGTGATCAATATTCACGCCAAATTTATCACATCCCGATACAGTGGCGTAGCAAACTCGATAATAGAGACCTTACGATTTTAGGACGGCAACCGCGACGGCGACGGCCAAAACAAACTCCTTCAAATAAAGGGTAGTCGATAGTTCGTCGTATATTATCAATCGTATGAATTTAATACAGCCTTAGAAGTTGAAGACATGGGTTTTATGGTTGGGAAGAGTTCTGCTAAACCCAGTAGTTGAAGTTGCACTTGTTGTGGCTTGGAATGCAGCCGTTGTATCAATACGTGAAAATATGTGATTTGGCGTTGTAAACAGAGCGAAAACAATGTCTAAATTATTCATTTATTGTAATTACTCATTTCTTTCAATGATCTATTGTATTGGTAGCCGTTGCCGTCGCGTTGCCGTCCTAAAATCGTAAGGTCTCTAATTGGGGGCAATATTTATATATTCGTGTTTTGCAGAACTAATTTTTTAAAGTCAGCGAACAAAGACCCCCATGCAATTATCGAGTTTGCTACGCCACTGTCCCGACAGGTAAATGCCATACCTTTGTCCAGACTGAATGTTTATATTGAACAAATTTTCAACTCATCTTATTTTCAACTCTCATCTACACAATGAATTGGTCAAGAAGTTCCAATACAGGGTGAGAAAATTCGGCTCAATTTTCATATAATTGATCCAGAAATCTACTGTAATCGTTCCTAATCTAATATTTCAATCTAATAATTCTACTTCATCCACTGAGACCTTAATTCTACCAGATGCAGAATTAGGGTTGAATATTAGGATTCCACCTAACTATACTTTCCTTGCATTAGCTATCATTTAATTTAACCATAACCATGCCCTAACACTAAGTCTACATCTAATTGGAACTGCATGAAATACACAACAAATAAAATCCATTACATGACACATAAAAATGATTATTAATGTACTTAATATTATGTCAAGAAACAATAAAAAACTAACACTAATTTTTGTCGGTGAATGGAAGTTAACATAGAATACGAAAACGCCACCGCGAGACTATACCAGTAAGACATAATATTACTCTACGTTTGCTTGCTGTCGCCAATAGGGATGGAATCGGTAGCTGGTTAACTATGATCCACCTGACCAACCAAACGTCATCACACGGATACGCGTTCTTGGTTTTCTTAGTCAACCAATGGTACCTCCTCCATCCCTAGCCGAGACAAAGTCACCCACCCGGACAGGGGAAAGTAGACCCTACGTAGCCTGGACTAAGAGCGAGAGGGCAGCGACCCTCAAAACTTAATGGAGAGGGACCCCCAAATCCCAAACACTGCATAGGGCAACCAACCTCAGCCAATGCGAATGACAAGAGGAAACAACAAAGAAACAAGCGTGGTGTGAGATAAGGAGGGAAGCACGAAGCGACTGAAGCCGGGACCATGTTGCTTCCTACTACAATACTAGCATATTCATGCGAACATATACAAATCACTCATACGTAATTGCCTCAGCGCCTCTTAATAAAACGAAACTAAAACACTCGTAGAACAAATAAAATTTATTTTAGTTTTATGTTTTCACTTTAATTTTAAAAAATATCGCTTTTATACTGGTCTTTCGCGTGCTTATTTACATGTTGTCTTTGTATGTATTTTTGTCACTCTGAGTAAGTCCATATAATAAACAGAACATTAAACGGTTGCGAGAAGATATGGATTTATGTTCTCATGTCAAAAACAATATCTCATGCACTCGTTCGCTGCGCTCACTGCTCACTCGTGAGATATTGTTTTTGCCACTCGAACATAAAATCCATATCTCTTCGCAACCGTCTAATATCCTCTATTTAATAGCACATATTTTTACATACTGTACTGTAGTACCCGGTGTTCATGCATGTATATTAAATCAACATGAAATTTTGTAATGACCTACTGACGTACCAACAGCATGTGTACAGTATAGCTGAACAAAAATTTTGGATGGAAATCACACATGACAAATTCATAATGATGTACATTCCATCTTAGTATATAATACTATATCCATTATGCCACAATGCAAGTCATGTGCCCTACCTGTACTTTATATTTCTACCTTGGCTAATGGCCTTATACTGGATCGATGCATGACTTTACTCATCAAGGAACTATGCCACTGAGCTATATAATTTACTTGAACAGCATGCTTAATCTACTTTCATTAAAGCTTGATGTCAGCAAAACGATGGCATGAAAAAGGACCTATATGTTGCAAATTGATGCAAGCAGCTTTCGCCATCGACTGTGCATGGGGATTTCTTTGAACGAGGATCTATATGGCGCAAGCAAAATCTGCAGTGGACATTTCTAAATCTCGAGCACTGAGTCCAGGTAAACTATTATAAGTCAGTGGGCAACACCTGGGAATTAACCAGTTAATTTAACCCATTAAGCTGCACAGAGCTTCTCATTGATGAGTAAAATCGTGTATAATTAGACAAGTTAAAAATAACTAGGGTGCACTGGGGCACATTGCGGTTCAATGGGTTAACTAGAGACATTGGTTAACTGCAATCAAGCTGCAGAGCTTCCCCATTGACAAGTAAAATCGTCTGGCATTAGACAAGTAAAAAAAAAGTAGGGCGTACTGGCATGCATTATGGCTCAATGGGTTAATAATAAAACTATAACTTATAATTCCATGATACATAGTGAGGAAGGCTTGGCCTCCTGTAATCATGTTTTTTGGCTGATTGTAATGTAATTCATACATTTAAATTTTGGACACAGATGAAACATAATCAGCATACATTGTATGTAATCTGTGCCTATACTGTACATGACATTCATGGCTAATAAGTTAGCAACTATACAGCAACCGCAATGAAAGTTCCAAGCGTATATGCAGTATATCATCTCCATGGTATACCAGAGGCAATACCACTATGAAGTATGCATGGTAATATGTAAATTTTCCAATATCCAAGGCCATTTACATCTTGAAAAATTCTCATTTCATATATAGCACCTTATTCATATATAGCACCTTAAGCCCTTTCTAAATAATATAATGCAAATGCAATGTGCTATGGGTAAGTGCACCGCTCATATGGGCATTAATTAATAAACTGCTAATGCCTGCATAGCCCCGGGGTTAGATGGCGGGGGGTTTATAGTCACTCTATATACACACTTAACTATAGTCACAGTAATAAAGTAGAGTATAGTCAGTGTATATACATACTTAAAGTGGAAGTCAAGTCCGTTCTGCCATCAGTTCTGCTCATAACAATGTGAGGACCTCTAATGTGAACATTGCCCAAATTTCGAATGTTTCGAATTTTTCTGAACATAAAAACTCTTATTTCATATTCATTTAGAAGCATAGCGAACAAAGACGGTGTTAGATATTCAGACAGTACATTATATTTTAAAAATACAGCAGTTCAAAATGTAAACAAACCGTTTGTTTACATACGGACTTGACTTCCACTTTAACTAAGTGTCCTGTAATACAGTAGAGTATAGTCACTGAGTGGAGAGGTCATGACTTTGAACTACCAATTGTTAAAACTGAGAGGTTCAAAAACGCGTTTATAAATAGATGTCTTTTCAATTTTATATAAACTATATATCTATATACTATATATCTATATTTATATTCAATTTTATATAAACTATATATCTATATTCTTATACCTTAGAATTTTAAAGTACTAAAAATTGATGTAAATAACAGCAAGAATCTAATTTTTTATTCTTAATATGTAAACTCAGACGTTTGATTTGAGTAGCGAAATAAAGACTTTTATTATTATTATTATTATTAATTTTTATTTTTATTATTATTATTATTAATTATTATTATTAATTTTTATTTTTATTATTATTATTATTATTATTATTATTATTATTATTATTATTATTATTATTATTATTATTATTCAATTTAACCTTGACCCCCCGACCTATCAACAAATTACAAATGTTATACGCAAAATGAAATCGTCTGGTTCTCCTTGCCCTCTTGATCAACTTTCTATAATAAGTTTCAAGCATTGTCCTTATCTGAGAACTTACCTTACTGAGCTAATTCACGATATTTGGCTATCTGGAACTGTCCCAACTGAGTGGAAAAGAGCATGTACCATACTAATCCACAAGAAAGGCAACAATAATGACCCTTCAAATTTCCGCCCCATAACACTCGAATCCATACCTTTAAAAGTATTTACATCTTGTCTCCGAAACGCAGTATACTCCTTCGTCGCATCTAATAACTTCGTCGAACACAACATACAAAAAGGCTTCACCCCCAACCTATCTGGCACTCTAGAACATACTGCGCAAATGGCTGACATTATTAATAAAGCTCGGATCAGACAACGCTCTGTTGTCATCACCCTACTTGATCTTAAGAATGCCTTCGGCGAAATCCATCACAACCTCATTCAATCCGTACTTGACTACCACCATATCCCTGATCATATAAAATTTGTTATAAAAAGTTTATATACTGATTTTCAAACCTTGATAATTACCTCTGAATTCCGCACTCCTTTTATGACAGTTGGCCGTGGCGTATTGCAAGGAGATTGCCTCAGTCCTCTTCTTTTTAACATGTGCTTCAATACATTCATTCAGCATATCAAGGCTGAAAAGTACCGTCTATTTGGGTTTTCCTTCAAATTACTAAATCCCATCCATTGGTTCCAGTTTGCTGATGACGCGGCTGTAATTACTGGCCAAGAATCCGAAAACCAACATCTATTAAATCGATTTTCTATCTGGTGCCAATGGTCCGATATGATTATCCGAGTTGACAAATGCAGTACCTTTGGCATTAAAAAAGCGATCACAAAATCAGTTCAGTACTTGCCAAAACTCCTCATCAGCAATCAACTAATACCAAAAATCACAATTGGAGAATCATTTCAATATTTAGGACGTTACTTTGATTTCCACATGTCGAATGATAATCACAAAACTGAACTAACCACCCTACTTAATGAACTAATGTCTGATATTGACTCAAAGCCACTACACCCCAAAAATAAACTGCTCCTCTACAGTCGCTACGTCTTGTCCAAGTTAGCCTGGCACTTCACCGTTGCAACACTCTCTAAAACATGGGTTACTGAAAATATCGACTCTATTGCCAACAAATATATCCGCAGATGGCTTGAAGTACCAATATCAGGAACACTAAGTACTGTCTTTCTAACAAATAATAAATTTGGCCTGAGTATTTATCCTCCATCTGTAAAATTTATCCAGTGTCAAACAGTCCTCCGAAAAGCTTTAAAATCTTCTCCTAATGAATCAACTAACGACCTGTGGAGAGCAACCAGTAACCATACTAATACCCAATATGACGCTTATAACTCTACTAAGGAAGTTCTCAAAGATTTCCGTTCTGGACACGAAAACAAACTCCTAAACCAATTAACCAGTCAAGGATCCTTTTTCTGCAGCGTCACGAAGTTCGCTTTACCTCAGCTTAGCAAGGTGTGGTGCGTCGCCCAATCAAAGCTCCCGAAAAACATTTACAACTTTACCATTCGTTACATTAACAACTCTCTTCCGACGCGCAAAAACCTAAACAGATGGGCAATATCTTCAAATTCAGACTGTTCTTTTTGTCTTAGCCCTGAAACATTACTACACATAGTAGCTGGATGTCAGTTTTATCTCGACCGATTTACGGGGAGACACAATTCAGTCCTGAACTTTCTTGCTCATCAGTTACAAACTGTTGACGGTTCTACTCTCTACGCTGATCTAAATGGATTCAAAAGCCCTTCAATACTTACTGGTGATACGTATCGCCCAGATTTGTTATTATCGTGCTCAAATGGTTCCTTATATGTGGTTGAACTCACCACTGGTTATGAGACAAACCTCAAAAACAACGTAAAACGGAAGAAGGATAAATATAGAGAATTATTGAGACAGCTAGGTAAAAATTTTAACCAAGTTAAATTTATAAATCTCTCCATCAGCTCTTTAGGTATTTTTGCAGAAGAATGTTATACATTTTTAGACATGTTAGATAGTATTGGTCTTGACAAAAACCACCAAATGTACTGCGTTAGGAAAATGATGACTATTGCTATTAGAACTACATATTACCTTTTTTGTTGCCGAAATAAGGAATGGGAAAATCCGGATTTACTAACAATTTGACTTATCTCATTGTATATATATATATATATATATTGCATGCACTTTGTTCTGTTATTTTAGTTTAGTATAATTGTGATTCAAATAGCCAACCGTAAGTTACCTTTATGAGAGAGATTTACGATTGTATATGTATGTAAAGAAAAACATTTCATAAAGTTTCCATTATTATTATTATTATTATTATTATTATTATTATTATTATTATTATTATTATTATTAGCACTGATGAAGATCCCGGCTTACGGATCGAAAGCTTTGCAGTAATAAATTTACGTGGTGTTTCCACAAACAAAACTATTATATTTTATCGCCATGCAAACATACAAAGAACTTATAAGGCATATGTTTTCCAAGAGACAAGAAATATAATGCATATTTTCATATTCAGAACGATCAGTAATAGAAGACACTAACAATTTAAAGTGCGATGCTTTATTAAATTTTTAAAATTTATTTTAGATATTGTTGAAATTGCAATATTTCGCGCCAATATCTTAATTTTCCCACGAATTATTTTTGTTGATTTGATTACATCATTCATGGTTGATATTATGACATCATAACTGAGACCCAGGTCATTGCGCGGAATTCAGGATGACGTCGGGCAAGTGTGCAACAGTGAACTCTAATAATACTGGAACGATAATTGAAGGTATATAATTATATCCCTGACAAAATGTAGAGACACTTTATAACCATTGTGATAAATATATAGAGGATATTAGACATTTGCGAGGAGATATGGACTTTATGTTCGAGTGGCAAAAAAAGAATATCTCACGAGTCAGCGCAGCGAGCGAGTGAGATATTGTTTTTGACACGAGAAATAAATCCATAAATTCTCGCAACCGTTCAGTTAATGTTCTGTTTATTATATGGACTTATTCAGAGCGACAAAAATACACGCAAAGACGACATGTAAATGAACGCGCAAAGAACCAGTATAAAAGCGATATTTTTTTAATTATACTGCAAACATAAAACTGGAATAAATTTTACTTATCTCAAGATGTCTTTTAAATGTTTTCGTTTTATTCCCAATGTTAATTTCGTTTTAACGAGTGAGATATTGTTTTTGACATAAATCCATATCTTCTCGTAACCGCGTTTAATGTTCTGTTTATTATATGGACTTATTCAGAGTAACAAAAATACACACAAAGACCAGCATAAAAGCGATATATTTTAAAATTATAGTTCGAACATAAAACTAGAATAAATTTTACTTATCTCCAAGTTGTCTTTTAAATGTTTTCGTTTCGTTTCCAACGTTAATTTCGTTTTATATGCGAACCAAAGACCTTTTGCATTTTCAAAATAACAACAATGAAAATGGCGGGAAGTTTTCGAACTTCGTATGTCACTCGCAGGGGTGAAATACGGAAAATACGCGCATCTGGTCCTGGATGTAGTGACGTTGAGTTCTACGACTGTTTTAGTTTCCAGTAAAAGACCATTCTCCACATAATAATATACGTTCCTGTACTGACCCTTGCAAGATTGAGCCGCTTGTGGTGAGTAATGAGGACCCAATATACAATATATTGAAACTGTACAGGAAGAGTCTAGTAACAAAATAATTATTGCTCGAAAAATCGTTAGTAGAAAAATTTAATTAGTACATGTTCTCATACATCAACTTCTATATAGAGTTATGTATTGTATTGCTTGTAGAATATATAATATGTAGAGATACATCCTTATAGTTTATGTGTGCAGTGTGTTAACCATTTCTATAGCGGGAAATACAAGTGTGTTATAAGACTATAGTTCTCGTTGAGGTCAAACTATCTGGAAAAGAAACGTCCAACGTTTAGCAAAAACTATTATTCAGCGACCAGTTCTGCGGCCCGATACTTGATCTTTAGGCAGCCTGCCTGTTCCATGGTAAAGTACGAAACAGTCAAGTTATTTACATTTATACCACTGGCAGCCATGCATATCATATACTCGAGTGGTGGATAGTGCTTTTCGTGCAATCTGATTGCTTTCTCAACTCCGGATGTCCTTGCACTATCCACCTCCACTTCAGTGAATAATTGTTAATTGTTTGCATGACTTTGAACGATCACCTATTAAAAAAATTACTTTGTAAAAGTGCGAAATATGCAGTTAAATAAAACGATTGGCTATTTGATATCCAGTATAATGGCCAGAAATTTGGGACAGTATGGCTGCTAACTATGCGCACAACTGACCAATTTTGCGAATTCAAGATGGCGGAAATGCCAAGAATTAATACTATAATCATACAAATGCGATGCGCATGCTGAAACAAAATATAATTTTCAAAGTGCACGTGTTTACGTCTAGAAATGTGCAAAATACCTCGACGAGTACTCCCCGAAACTCTTGACGTGTCACGATTTGCCATTATTCCGCCCGAGTAACTCAATTTTACACTATAATCTCGCAATGTAAACTCCTATTAAGTACAGTAAAATCCCCATTGTTTACCAAGTTGAGGCCAGTGTAGTGTTGCTCCAAGAGCTCGAAGACGAATTGTTTACGTCTACATTTCTTGTACGACAGTTGATCTCTCCTTTTGTATTGATTTAGATTCATCTTAGCTTGGACGCGCTCCGCCAAACGCATTTAAAATAGCGTGTATTTCATGAGAACTGCATGTAAGCTAATACAAAGTGTTTTGGACAAAGCACTGCGAAATCCCAAAACTTTTGAACGTTTTAAAAGCGCCGTCGTGGGTTCTTGTCAACCATTTTGAAAACATTTGTACGTACAACCGCTGATTGTTGTTTATAAAGGACAGGAGGCTCCAAAATAGGGAAGAAATCGCGCCAAAGTCAAATTTAAATCCCGTGAAATTCACTATATTTTGATATACTTTTGTAGTTTTGGACTTAGAAACTATTGTGTTCAATCAATTAAAGATTGTAAATAAGGAAATAGTTGCCACAGTCTTTAACTGATATAAAATTAGCTCCGAAGTTCGCTTGAGACGCTTTAATGTCTGTCTGCATTATGCGGACGCTGCAGAATTTAGCGAATTTTTGCGCCCGCAATACATTTCGCTGACTGAGCCTCATTTCTGGCCATGATAGTTAAGAAATATTCACCGAGACGTATAATTCTTCGCTTCCGCTAACCCTATCATGAAAGAATGGAAGGCTGGGTAAATCTCATCGAAGAACTGCCATTGTTTCCAAGGGCAAGGTAACACTTTTAATAAACTCGTAACCCGATTAAAGCTATTAAGGGAGTTTAAGCTTCACGTTTGCGGGAACGGGAAACGGCAAGGCTGAATTTTCTTGGCATAATTTTCGTTTGATTTCTGCGTGTCATATTTTCGTTCATGTGAAACAGGAATAGCTAAGCATTCTACGGTATTATAAAATTAACAAGCCATTTACTTTTTATTGCTTTATAGCGTAATTTTTTTCATCGCCTGACGTTTGTCGTTTATCGTTGAACGCGAAGCTTAATTAAGCGCTCTATTAACGCGAATGTCACGCGGGGGCCGTTACCTCGGTAAGCCAATGTTGTGTCCACGACACGTTTTGCCGTTTGCTGGCGAAAACCCTAAATCTGTTGCTCGAAAATATGGTTTTGTTTTGAGGAAGTAAAAATTGAATAATTTTTTAGGCCTAATTTTCAATGCTAAAAATTGTTATCTATCTTCCTCTGACGTGAAAATCGTGGCAAATGATGATGCATCTATACACAAAATGACGTCTGCATGTGACCTTACTGGTGAGATTTAGCCAGCATTGCACTCTAAGGCAACGGCCAAACATCGCAATTTTCATGTGCCAAACCTAATGCAAATGAAATGAGACAAAGAACGTAGGTTAGGCATATGAAAAGTTCAAACGTTTGACCCTAGCCTAACAGTGTTAGGATACTAATTAAACGTGTCACAGAATATTTCTTGTCTTCATCAGTTATCGTTGAAATAGCCATCAGGATCTGATTGTGCAAAACTAGATAGTGCTAGCGAGCGGATATTGTAATCAAATTATACAGTTATGTAAGCCTCTTCATTGTTTGGGAGTCTGTCAGCAGAAGACGTATGATGTAACTCTCCACTATCATTATGGAAGCTTGCATCGTTGTCTCGACCAAACAAGTTTTCATTTCGTTCGGACCCGTTTGATGAATTGTCGTCGCCTGTTTCTTTATTTCCTATATCGAAGAAAGCTTACGTGGATGATACTTATTTTTTGTTTATCAACGGACACTTCCCGAATTTGCAAGCCCAGGCAGGCAATGAAAACCACCGTTATTTACAAAGGATTACATTGTCCGGCTAGATTTCAAGCTGGAGTTTCAAGGAAATGGCTATATTTTATGATGTTAATCACAGATATTTAAAACATGGATATAAAAGATGTACCGATGAAGTAGAAGATATAAACTTGATTATTAAATATAATTAACCGCTTTTAGATAAGTTAAGCCGCTTATACTCAACACCGCGGAAAAACGTCTGCGCATGCGTGGGACACAAAAAAGATGGCGAGGAATTTAAATGCCAAATTGTAAACAAAAATATGGCTATTTAGTGATTTAATGTAATTTAAACAAACAAAAGAATACACTAGACGGGTAGATTAGACATCAATAAAAAGTTTTTAACATTTAAAATCTAAAAAGAAACAGAATTTAAATTAAAAATTACCGTTTAAGACCAGGAGGCGTGTGAACATTTCTTGTAAAATTGTCGAATACCGAACTTAAAGCAGAAAAGTTAAGAAAACTATCGAATAGTTAAGCATTTGCCCCCGATTAAACTGAAGAGTAACTCATTACCTTTAAATATAGTCAACGCAAAATTATACATGCTCAGGAAAAAAGTTGTTGACAAAAACCTACGAAAAATATCTTTGTATGGTTCAGTTAAAGAACGTTTTATACAATAAATTTATCGACAGTCACCTTTGGTTTATTTTCTTGCACAATACTATAGTCTTCTTGCACATGTAGACCATAATTATTTCTAGTTTTTAGGTTGTCACGTTCATTATTCCGCTTGCATTTTCGTAGAAAACAAAACATCGAAGTCGCTACCAACCTCGTACCCAGGGCTTTTTGCTTCCGCGGTTGGATGGTCAGCGAAAAAGGCCCTGGCTTCGGCTGGTCTGCTTTGCAACCTGGTCTATGATTTTGAATGTAAATGTTCAATATATGTGGAAATAATTATTATTTTGGTGCAACGAGAGTGCAGTGACAAATTTATAATTAATTCTTGAAGGACTAAAGTATTGAGTAAATAAGATTTTTGACATTTCGCTTCAAAGAGATACAGCATGAAGTGGGGAAAGACAATATATCACAAAGCTATCTGGTCCAAATTAAGTCTTTATACATTTTGAATAGACGAGTATTTGCTTCGGTTCAACATACGTTTTTCACATGCGTTGTTTATACAGTCAAACAAAGATTGTGATACGAATATATTTGCTCATAACACGATTTGTATAAACCGGCAAACGCTGAAGCGGTTTGGTTGTACATTAAAAATTTAATAACATGCTAACCAGGCTCTGAATAGGTTTAAAAGTCATCAATATTACGGGCTATGTTGTTGACTGAGGTGTAAACAACGAAAACCGAATAAAGTCAACTTATTTTGTTGCTTTTTCTTTGATTATATACACAGCATTGAATGTGTTTATTCTTGTCAGTAATTAAAATGTATTTTCAAATCTCTCTACAGATAAAGCAACCGGTCGCGATGAGATATCTGCCAGATTGTTGAAAGAGTGTTCGAACGAGATTGCTCCATCCTTAACAGCGCTGTTCAACAAATAACTCACTCTTGGTAAAGTTCCCCAGGAATGGAAGGAAGCTAATGTTGTCCCTGTTCCCAAGAAAGATGATGTTCACTATCGGCCGATTTATAAGTAACTATCGGCCGATTTCCCTGTTGTCACTAGTGTCCAAACTTCTCGAGCAAGTTGTGCATTTGCACGTGTCGGAATTTGTTGAATCATCACTGAGTAATCTGCAACATGGTTTCCGCAAAAGACGTTCGTGTGTCACCCAACTTCTTCGCGTTTTCCACGACGTTGGTAAAGCCCTAGACTCGGGAAAGGAAGCTGACATGGTTTATTTAGACTTCTCCAAAGCCTTTGATTCTGTTTCTCATCGAAACCTTCTTTTGAAACTTGAACAACATGGTATCTCCAGTTCATTGTTGAACTGGTTCTCCGACTTTTTGAGCGAAAGACGTCAGCGAGTAGTGGTCGACGGTGTGTCATCCTCGTTTCTTAATGTAACATCAGAGGTACCACAAGACAGCGTACTCGGCCCACTTTTGTTCTTGATTTACGCAAACGACCTCCCAAATGCAGCGAGTCATAGCACAGCGCCCATGTTTGCTGATGACAGCAAAATGACCTAAATTCCCTACACCAATGGTCTAAGACGTGGGACTTAAATTTCAATGCGAAGAAGTGTGTTGCCCTCAGATTTTCACGAAAGAAAACCTCTGTTCCACCTCAAGACTACTTCCTAAACCAGCAACTTATAAAGTCTTCCTCCACACAGAGTGATTTTGGTATCCTGGTGAGCGACAATTTAAAATGGTCCCAACACATCATCAATATCGTTTCTAAAGCCAACAGAATGCCTGGGTTTCTGCGCCGCAATTGTTTCCACCTCACTGACGTGGATGCTCACCGCCTTCTGTATTTGTCTCTGGTCCGCTCTCACTTATCGTTCGGCTGCGAAGTCTGGGCTCCTCAAAGTGCGTCTGCTGATCTGCTTCATCTCGAAGGAATTCAACGCCGAGCAACAAAGTTCATTCTTCAGGACTATGATTTGTCATACGTTGGTCGCTTGAAAAACTAAATCTAATCCCCCTTTCATACTGGCATGAAATTAAAGACATTATATTCCTCTACAAATGTAAATACGGGATGTACGAAATTGACATCAATCAGTATATAACCCAACCTCTTTACCACTCCACTCGTTCCAGTTCTGGTGATTTTCGTCCAAACCTGTGCAAAACCTCCCTCTTCCGAAACTCATACTTTAATAGAATTGTATTTTTATGGAACAATTTACCGTCTGATATCAAATCATCTTCGTCAGGCGCCATACTTAAATCTAAACTATATATATATATATATATATATATATATATACATTAGAAAGCTGAATAGTACTTTTGATGTAGACCGCCCTAGAACATGGAAAACTGTATGCAGTAAATGTCGTTCTTTACATGCAATCTGTTGTTCATAGATGTAATTATAATTGTTGTATGTCCTAATGTTTATGTATATAATATGTATTCTTGTAATACCTATAAGTAATTATGTAATGTACGTTTTTGGTGGGACTTAATTAGGGACTCACGTCCTGTTGTCCTTACCTTCGGTCATTTGATTGTAAAGTTAATAATATATATATATATATATATATATATATATATATATATATATATATATATATATATATATAATTTGTTATCTTAAAATGTTTCAATTTCTCGCTATACATTTTAAGATAACAAATTAATTCGCTCTGCTAAATAATTTGTAGTATTGAGCACTCTTTTATCTATAACGAAAAACAAAACTGTTTATATATATTGATACGCATAAATTATCTTAATTGAACACCTCAAATACTGGAGATTTTCAGGTCATGTGACCGGCCGATGCCAGAGCCATTTTCCTGACGGAAACAAAATGCCCTGGGTACGAGGTTGAGTCGCTACCATTTTGAGTTTTTGACAACATTCGGAACACTTCGGACATCACGTTCGCAATACAGATTTCAGTAATGTTGACGCATACGCAGATATTTTTCCGCGGTGTTCGTATACTCAATCTCGGAAACCAATAATTCAGGGTACGATTCTTGCACAGACGCATATCAGAAATTCCGAATAGACCCTTCCAAGGTTAACGACTCGTAATGAAATACAATAGTGCAAGGGATGCAACCACAATGGAATTCCCTATAGGCAAATTTGCAAGGGGTGCAAATATAATGGTGAAAACAATAGATTCAAGATGGCGTCCTTAACCTTATAAGGCCTATTAAGAATACTGTATTTGTAAATGTAATAACCTTTTATAGAATTTCTGCCCGTTTACGCTTGCAATTTTTGCTGGGATTCATAGTGCGATTCCCTTCTTCTGATGCTTGTGAACGAGTAAATAAGTTACGAATGTTCGGGATATATGTACCCTCATCTGAACATTCATAACTAATCCAATCGTTCACATCGATCAAAAGAGGAAAATCGCCCCTAAAATCGCTGCAAAATTTGCAAGTGCAAACGATCCTCCATACACATGTAACAGCTTTATTTATGCAGACAGCTATATCAATTCAGTTGATCAAAAGTCTCAAGCTTACATTGTTTCAGTGTTCCTGCACAAAGGAACCGTACTATCTGCAAGACAAAACCTGCAGTGTTTAGTGAAATAAGAGAAAAGAAGATAAGAGAAATAAGAGAACAGAAATAAGAGAAAACTACAATGTCAACAAGTTTTTTATTATTGTCTCTACTACGCATGTTCGCTATAGTAGCCCATGGCCAGATGTTAAAGTTGCTGCATGCAAGCAGGTCCACAAAGAATTATTCATGCATCTTTTGGCCAGCAACACGTTTCCAATATTACTAACCTTGGATAGCAGGAGACGTAACGTATACAACATCTTCTTCCGCTTTCACAGCGACAGACACATTCTGGTTGTTATATCCACCATACCCAGCACTTTCAGATTTACTTCTCTCTGCCTGTAGTCTCGAATTCTTTTCAACCATGTTCTGGTTTATATCTGAACCGAGTCTCTTGTTAGGTGAACTTGCGGAATCTGAGAAAAAAAAAAGGTTTGGTTAGATTAAATGTGAATATACTGGTGAAAAGAATGCAATTGCTAATTAGTAAGCTTGAGCTTTGGGTCAACACGAACGTCACCCGAAAATTGGCATAATTAATTTTTGCGGCATGAATTTTGCCTCATAGCGCTCGTCTGAGGAAGCAGAAAACTTTAAAAATCTTATATTTTATCATATGCGTTGAACATTACCGCGAACTGACTGAACTGACCCAAACACAATTTTTAATCCAGCACTACACGTCGTGTTCACAAAGACCAAAGACGTCGCTTGCTTAAATTAAACTCCCTATTAACTAACGAAACAATGAACATATAGCAAGATAAAACATGAAATGTTAATCGCAAGGTTTTCTTACTTTTTTGATGGCGAGCAGAACTTTTGCCAAAGCTGGTTGAGAATGTGTTGCTGTGGACAACATCTCGCATCTGCAAAACATAAAATATGTATCATCACGCATTAGTACGGTGGCCCAGACGCGACATCATAAAATACATTTTGCATTTCCATGTTTCCGCATTTTCAACTTTTGCATTTCCATGTTTCCGCATTTTCAACTTTTGCATTTCCCTGTTTCCGCATTTTCATATTTTCATGTTTCCGCATTTTCATATTTTGCATTTCCATATTTCCGCATTTTCATATTTTCGTATTTTCATGTTTTCATATTTTGTATACTGTTGTAATTTTCATACAATGTTTTTTAAGAAATTCCTCCATTGTTATAGTTTATATTGGTACCGATTGTACATTATTTAGACAGTATTGTACAGCGACTTTACTAAAAGTCGACTTGGTTATCCATCGATTCTTTCAAAGTTATTTGTTTACATGTTAATTAACTTGTAGCCTGCGTGCAGGCCCAAGGAAACTGATAGTGGGCCTGCAACCATCGCCCGGTATTTTGTAAAACGCCCCTTTTCATAACACGCCCCATTCGCGCGTCAATTGTCAAAAAAGAACCAATGACAGCACCCAAATATTAACAAACAAACTCGCATTAAAATGTTGCGGGGGTTTTCTCTGCTTATTCAGAACACTAATAAACAATGTGTAAATGGCTGCGTTTTAACTCCAAAAAAGCAGGCAACGCAGTCAGTAATTGCCAAATTTGCAAGTGCTCATTTTCAACTAAAATCGGAACAGGCAAATTAGGACGAATTTCAACAGAAAACCAGTCTCAAACTTCAAATCATGAGGGAAGTCGTGCGACCACATTAGGACTTATATTATGTGTGCTTCGCTGTCGCCATTGGCATTGTTATAAATAAATTGTCTCACTTATCAGATCGTGTGTGCAATTCTTGTTGGCGGCGGAACTAGTACGAAATTTATTTCATTTATTTCATTTGGTAAAGAACTCTACAAAAGAAGAGAGCGTTCCGAGTCCAGATCGTTTCGTTTCAAACGGCAATTTAATATACCGCCTTCTGTTTCGCTCTCTCAGCGAAGCCTTGTAAATCGCAAAGTGTTTCGAATAGGCTTACAGTCCTTATATACATGCAACTGCATCTCAACATCAACCAAAAGATAATTTTCTTGAAGAAGTGAGAACACATAACGTATCAAGTCTATCAACTGAAGTCTGTTTGAAACTAGTTAATGAAACTCAAGTAAAGGTTACTATAGTTTACCCCAGTCGTAATTTGCTATTCCAACACCTCACGACAAGCAATCCCCATTGGCATAACGGCAAAACATGTCTTCCTTCAAGTAAACAATAAACAGTCTGTTCTTGTTCCATTTGTAATCGAAAAAAGTGATCAATTTTCAAATTTTAAGCTTATCGAGAGCCTTTGTCTATGCCTTTGTGATGAATCACTGTTCCCTTGGGCCTGCACGCGGGCTAGGTTAATTAATTACCGATCGCCTCAGCTAGCCAATGGGAATTTAGCCGGCGGTTCGGCCGGCGAAAATCGAAAACATGGGGTGGTGGTTGCAGGCCCACTATCAGTTCCCTTGGGCCTGCACGCAGGCTAATTAACTTGTTAAATTATATCGTGGTGCAGTTTTTAAGGGCTGCAACGATCACGAAGAGACTACTGTGTCTACTGTATTTAAGTCAAACCGGATGTTCTCTTGCGAGCAACATTGCAATATTGTCCCACAATATAGCAATTTTGATAGGGAGATTGTTCTGAGCAATTTGCAAGCCGACGCGAACAAATAGGCCGTGGGCTTTGTTGGCCAAAATTATTTCGCTTCGTGGCAGCCATGTGGGAAGTACTTGATTTGTGGTTTATTTGAAAGGAATTATAGGTACATTACTATCAAAAAAGCTCCCAAGCATGAAATGTGATCAAAACGTACAAAAAACCGCATATAAGACTTTTAAACAGTCTTTTGATTCTTCAAATAGTCTTTGAGTTATTGCTGTTTTAAATGTGAAAATTGGACCAAAATGTTGCAATAAGGACTGCATGGGTACTTGGTAAAAACGCGTTTTTGAGAGCATATAACTGGAAAACAATTTTAGACCCCGTTTACACGGTACCGGACGAATTTGGGACCGGACGAAAATTCGTCCTTTTTCGCCTGTTTACACGCGAATTCGTCCTGTTAGGGGGTCTCAAATTCGTCCGGTTCCGTGGTTCTCGTGTGTTTACACGGCCGAAACGGACGAATTTTCGTCCGGTTACAAATTCGTCCGGTACCGTGTAAACGGGGTCTAAGATATAAAAAACAAGTCCTGTTTAAATGTCTTATATGTAGGTTTTTGTAAGCTTTCTGATGATCTAAGTAATTTTTGTTGTAATTGAATACAACATTTCACATTTTCTTGCTGTAATACAATTTAATAGAGGATAATCACTGATCACCCATTTTCTCGGTATTGGGCACGTTTTTTGCTTGGGAACTTTTGTTTGGTAATTGAGCATCTATGGTACTATGCATTGAACCACAGAAAATCTATTCCCCAGGGGGTTGCCACGAATTTGCTTTTCAAAGAACTTTTTCGTACAACAGCCTAAAATTGCAAGTTGAAATTGACAATGATTTTTGAGTGGGGGGCATTGCCAAGAAGGACCTCCCACAGGCCGAACGAAGTAGGAATATTTGTTCTAACATTTCTGCTAATTGTACTTTACTACTTGCATTTCAGATAAAAATATTTCATGTCCCGAAGCTCATCAGCCTATGAGCGCTCTGGAACTTTCCGCATATACTCTGTCATGTATGTAGAATGTCATGCAATTAATGAGCGAAATTAATTAAACCTTGATTCTTGACAGCCCCAACCAGAAAATTTCAGGAAATTCATCAAGGCGATGAAGTTATAGTTGCCTATTTCAGCCGTTTTCGTGCTTGACAAATAATATTAGTGGAATTACATTCAACAAGGTTGGGTAACAAAATACTTAGAAAACTGGTAATACATCATCTTAAACTAAATTATTCTTTTTCTAAAAAAGTGATTTTCACTGGTGGGGGCAAAATATTAGGTAACTGGGGGACTAACATGGGAGACTAACATGGGGGACTAACATGGGGGCTGGGGGCTAAAAATGGGGGCTAAAAAAGCCTGAATCAGAGCCAGGCCCGGTCAATGTATAATATAAACAATTTATAATATACTGATCAATGTGAAAATGTAAAAGGGATTTTTGGGGATTTTTAATATGTTAATCAGTGAGAACACCTTTTCTCACATTTTACCAATGAAAAAAATAATATTGCGATTACTTTAATCAGGACCATGTGCTGATAGTGATTTGACTGGACCATTATTAATTAATATGAGCTTCATAATGGGCAGAGGTAGGTCCCATGACTCCATGAGATGAGAATCTCCCTTCCCACCCTAAGGGTATAAATAATGAATGGTCCTTTATACCGATCTTGATATATTTCATAATTAGTTCGTAATTCTTGAAAAGCTGCAGTAGAGAAGAACCTGGCTGTTTATACCTGCATTGTAAAAAAATGCTTTGGTAAATAACGGAATTTCACCTGCTTCAAATACACCATGCATGCTATACTGAATAGTGTGGTTTAGTTTCGATTTCCTCTTCTGCCACCTATTAAAGAAGAAGTGCGCGCATGCATGTGATTGGTTAATCAGCTAAATTAAAGATCGACATCTGATTGGTTAATAGTCCCCTTATAGTCGGTAGTGGAAGTTACATCTAAGGGCCTGTCACACTATTGCGTATCATACTAGCGGTATGCCAACGTATGAAAAATATCACTCATACGCTGGTATACGTTGACATACGCGCGGCTGGGGGTACGTTAGGTATAGGTTGTATACGTTTCAAGCACGGTCGCATACGGTGGCATATGTTGGCATACGGCGAGGCAGAAAATTTTTTTTAAGCATGTTCAAAAATTTTGTGCGTATCGAACGTATGCTTTATACGATAAGCATACTCTAGGCACACGCTGAATACGATAGAGGTACGCCAGATGTACGGTACTCATACGCTGGCATTTCAAAGGATTTTTGTGCGTTTGAAAATTATTTCATTAATTTTGATACGCTTCTCATACGTTTCTATCATACGCAATAGTGTGACAGGGCCTTAAAATCAATATATATTATTTGTGGTTGCATATTAATGTTTCGTAGTTATTGCCATGCATGTGTTGTTCATGCCATTGATATCAGGGTTTAAAAGATTGTTTTGCATTTAATTAGATTTATTCTTAGGCTGTTTGGTACACTTGCCTTTTTGTACCGGCGATTTTTTCGGGTTTCAGGCACTGGTACTGTGAACGTGAATATCACGAACATTTGATCACGAACATGCGGAAAAGACCTCGCCTGCATATATATGTAAAGAATGCAGGCCCGGCCTCTAATACCAACCAAAATTGTCAGCAAAATTGTGAAATGGACAGCAAATAAGAACTAAAGTTTCGTGACTTTCGTCCATGACTGGCTTTCACGCATTATACAGAGCATTTATTCTCATAAGTTCACCGTTCACATTTATTCTCATAAGTTCAGCGGTTCACCGCTCTGACATATAATTAAAATCTTATAAATTCATCGTATACATTAATGGATTACAGTCAGAGAAACAGTCGAAGTTTCCCTTTCAAAGTAACCGGCTAGAGGTGTGAAAATGCGGCGATAGCCGGAAGCCGGCTGCTACTTTAAATCTTGGATATGCTTCAGCCCCATGCAAATACACCATACTTATTATCGAATTTAACAGTTTCAGGAATTCCTTGACACTTAAAAATTGCATTACCATGACGAAATAAAAACGAAAACTGTCAAAGGGTGAAATTAAGTTGGCAGACATTACTCCTGAACAGCATATTAGAGAGGTTCAGATTTGACTTTCACTACCTCTACCGCTCACTGGCTTAGTACGCATCTGATTGGTTAATCAAATACATTAAACGCATCTGATTGGTTAATGGTCCCTTAATGATTGCGGTACTGGTAGCAGAAGTCAATCTGAACTTCTCCATTATGTTG